TCAGAAAAAAAAACAGCTGATTTGCACTGCAGACCTCACCAAACAAAGCACAAGAAAAAAATATGTTCTGTGTGAAAAAGCTGACCAGCCCAGTCATTGTTCTCAATCACAATGACACAGGTCATCCATGGGTTATAAAGGCAGCCTGGAGCCCACGGCTGCTGCTACAGTGTGACAAAAGTTAGCCGACACAATGGGTAAGGTAAGGATACCTTTTTAAAAAAAAAAAATCCTGTTCCTTTTGTGCTTCTGCATACCTGCATGGACTATTCATCGAAAACCAGTGATGCAGAACCACTTCACGTGTGGTATTTTTAGCAAAATGTCTTTAATTTAATCAAGCATGCATCCAATTTACCGAAAATCCCTGAATAAACTTCTTTCAGATCATTTTCTACGAGGACAGGAACTTCGATGGTCGCTCTTATGAGTGCAGCAGCGAGTGCGCTGACCTACATTCCCACTTTAGTCGCTGCAACTCCATCAGAGTGGACAGTGGTAACTGGATGGTCTATGAGAGACCCAACTACATGGGCTACCAGTACTTCCTGAGGAAGGGCGAATATCCAGACTACCAGCGCTGGATGGGATTCAACGACTGCGTGAGATCCTGCCGTATGATCCCTATGGTAAGTCTCAGTTGGGCATTTTTGTATTAAAGGTTTCACTGATCTACACGGATGATTGTAATCATCATTTCTGCAGCACCAAGGCACTCACAGACTGATGATCTACGAGCGCCCAGAACTTGGAGGACAGATGATGGAGCTGACAGATGACTGCCCCTCCCTGTATGAACGCTTCCATTTCAATGACATCTACTCCTGCAACGTAATGGATGGCTACTGGATCTTCTACGAGCATCCTCACTACAGGGGACGGCAGTACCTGATACATCCTGGTGAATACAGGAGGTTTCATGAGTGGGGAGGCATGAGTCCCAGGGTTGGATCCATCAGACGCATCATTATGTGAGAATGCCGATGTGAGATATTTCATGTGAAATATTTTAAAAAGTACTACCAATAAACCAAACAAAAGACCAGAGTGGTGTCAGCTGCTTTTTGTTTGTTTTTTTCCTGGTTGCTTAAACTTTTTAGAGTTGTCTGGAATATTTAAGGACTGATTGCTTCTCGTTACCTCTGAAGAAAGCGGCATGAAATGGTCTAAGTCAACACAAACATTTCTTGTCTAACAAACTATTGTTTTACAAGAAGTTTAAATGTTACAGCAAAAAAATGTTTAAACATCAAGGCTGTCTTCTTTTGGATAAAGACATAAACACAAGCAGTTTAAGCCCAGCATATTTATTGAGAAGAGACAAAGGAACAAGGTTCAGAAGGTTTTAATTAAAGTCGGTGATTCGCCTGAGAGAGCCGATCCTTGGACTCGCACCGCCCCAGTCACTGTATCTGCGGTATTCGCCAGGTCTCAGGTAGTAGGTCCTCCCCCTGTAGTTGGGCTGGTCGTACAGCAGCCAGTGGCCGTCTACCACATTGCACGAGTTAATGTCAGACATACGGAAGCGGTCCTGGACGTTGGGGCAATCGTCGCTCACCTCCTGCATTTGGCCGGCCATATCTGGACGCTCATACAACTTGATTTTGTAGGAGCCCCGGTGCTGCAGAACAATGTTTATTAGTCAGACACTATGGAAGAGTAAAACAGTCCATCTAAGACAATCTAATGGAAAAACATCCTTAACCAAAAAGTTCTTCTTCAGTTTATGTTTCTTTTGTGGAGCAGGGACGACCAGATGGTCCCAGCATCTGAGCCAACTGGATGTGGGGAACCAAATATGATGAAGGTTTTGGTCAAACATTAGCTGTCAAGGATTTATATTCTGAAATGTTCCCCAAAACTAAATTTATATCAATTTTATTCCAAGTTGTCTAATAATAATGACAGTTCCTTTACAAAGTTTGTGTTAGAGTTTCTACCTGTTGATCCAAGTCAGCCTTTATTTTACTTTAGCTTCTTCATTTTGTTACTTTGAGTTTTATTAATAATTTATTGAGCACATACATGTCTTCTTTCTTTGACCTTGCTTTGTACTCCAATAATTCAACAATTCAACATTCCCACTTCTAAATAATATTAACTCATTGCATCTTTAATACAATCTTATGCTTACCATGGGAATCATGCGACAGGAGCGAATGCAGTCATTGATTCCGATCATGCGCTGGTTGTCGGAGTACTCCCCCCTGCGCAGGAAGTACTGGTGGCCAAGATAGTGAGGTCTGTCATAAACCATGAAACAGCCGCTCTCCACCCGGATGGAGTTGCAGCGGTTGAAATAGGGGTGCAGGTCAGCACAGTCGCTCATGCACTCATGGTGCCGACCCTGGAAATTTCTGTCCTCGTAGAATATGATCTGCAAATGTATTTCACAGCATTCGCAAATTTTTAGCTCCTTTTTCATTCAAGCTCCTAGCTCAAGGTTAATGTTTTGCTTTGGTTTTTAATTCTGTATTTTCAGTAACATAATAAACTTACCTTTCCCATTGTTATTTTAGTGGGGGCCCGACTGATGCTCAATAGATGCCCTCTGTGCTGCTGTCCTTTTATATAAAGTAGCTGTGTGATGGCACAGCATAAAGTATTGTCATCCAAATAGGTTTTATAAAACAAATCTGGTTATGTATAGCGACGCACTGCAGTGTGATGATGAGTTATTGTTGTCCACTTTTCACACGTTCATCACTATTGATCAAAACACCATAGTTTGCTAGTGCCCCACGGGTCAGTGATCACATTATGTGCAAAACAACTGCGTCCTTCTCATTCAAATAGATTCCTAACTGTACAAATGCCAGGGTCGGAGCAAGTATTTTTCCTGAATTTTGTCATTCAGGGATCCTGGACGGCTTTGAGGGGCTGAAGGCTACAGTTTTTTGTTTGTACCTCAGGCTGTTTTGGATAATCAATAATTTCTACAACGAAAAATGATTAAATCTTGTCATAAACTTGTTTAAGGGATAATTAAATCTACCTTTACCGTTTTTTAATTGATTTTTTTTTTTATCTAGCCATAATCACAGAACTGCTGTGGCCCTGAGTGTAATGTAACAAATGTTAGAGCTAAATAGCAAATATAGATACACTAAAGCCTCTACTGAAATTGTGAACATCAGTATTTGTGTTTGTATTGACATCAGCATTGCTACAGTGCCCAAGTATAGTGTTTAGCTTGGACATTATGTCATCTTTGCATATATTTCAATCATTTATGGAAACAGGCTACACTGTTGTTGAATTAATTATTCAATTTTTAGGTTTGCTGATGTTTACTGTGGGTTTTTGAATGGAGGCTTCGCAAAGTAAGCGCTGCCGTGTACACCCCCATTTAGGGCCTATGATAACGCATGCCTGTACGTGATGATAACAGAAACACTAAATCCAAATCCTAGCATTTTTATGGTATGGGTCCCACTCTGTTTCCATGAAATGGTTCGTGTTGGGGCAGCTTTAGAAAGAAAACTTCAGTAAAGCAGAAATTTACATTACTGCCTGTATTTTCTATTGACATTTGACATTTTTTTCATGTAAACCTGTTATTCATCCAGTATTATTTGTCAGTTGATATTATTAATAAAGATTACAGCATTGTATATACACATGATATACAGTATTGACAACAGTTTGTTTACATTGTTTGTTTATCTATATAATGGAGGGAAATCCAAGCCAAAGCTTCAGTATGCCAATTTCACTATTGTCCATGTAAGGCCTAAAAGTGACATTATAAAGTATGAAGCAGTTAAAAAAATAATAATTATTGATTAAGAGCCTGGGAGACTGTAGTGTAGTTTGCTCCCTTACACTAAGCTTGAACAGGAGACCTTAAATATGATGCTGTTTGCCACTTCTGGGTCACAGAATCTATTTTAATGTGTTGTAATATGTGTATTACACATATGTGAAAGCTTACTTTCAGTTTTACAGCAGGTAAAGCAGATCTTGAAAACTGTAAAAACTCTGAAAATGACATAAAAACAGTATAATGCTACTTATGCATAGACACACAACTTTTTTTTTTTTTTTTTAAAAACTTCAACCTAAGGTCACGAGACTCCATCTCTTGTTATTCTAATAAGCTGGCATTTTGTTGGCTTTGCCACTCTGCCAAGGCCTTTATCCCATTCATACACATAAAATCCCTGATTCATCAGTGCCAGACTGCTCCATTATTCAGCTGCAATTATCCCATACGGTGGCCACACATATAATGTCTAGAGTTTACAAATCCTTCCGAGCATTTAAAAAACTATATTCATCCCATCTGTGCTAAACTGATGTATGCAGATTTCATATTCATAATGCAAATCCTGTGTTACACACTCAATTTGAAAGATTTGCTCTAGAAGGCACAAATCCTTTGCACTGTGATCATTGCTTTAGAAATGGAAAATTAATATTAAGTCATCTACAACTTCAAAACATTTTAATTTGATATTGTACATTTCAAATCACAGACCCAATAAAGGATTTTTAAGACCAGATAATCTGAAACTTTGTCTGATATTTTTTCTTCTTGCTTCTTAAAATATAAAAAACATGTCCCACATTTGTTATGTGTAGTTGTTTATTTACACTTTAAGTACACTTTGCCTGACTGCTTGGAGCAACTGGTTGTTTTGTTTGTGGCAAACAGGGAAGTTACAGAGTGCCCTCTTGTGGACAAACTGTGCAATGTCAGCAATGATAACACAGTTGAAGGGTGTTCCCCCCCCCCCATCTCTTCTTTACTTTTATCATTTTCACTTATTGGCTGTTCTAAATCCTGACACAGATACATATATGCAAATAGCGATTACAAGCCAATAACATTAATCTACCGATAAATCAGTCTGGCTTTACTTGATTTTTTGACCCATTTACTTTAAATCTGCACATTTAAAACATGCTGTTATTTTAAACTGTTAAATATTCCCATTTTCCATCCTTTCAGGCACCACTTCAGAATCGCTGCCTACAAATGGAAACAACATGGCGACTACACCACAGGAAACATTTATTACCACTGAAGAACTTAAAATTATGTGAGAACAAAACAAGCTTTGGTGGTCATGTGACATTACAGAGCTATTTTTTTTATTATTTCTCAGTTTTACAGTTTGCTTTAAGCTTGAAAACCTCAAGCAAAATACAGAACAAAAGCAAAGAAAATGAACAAAGACGATCAGCAACGTCATAAAACCACACAGACAATTTTAAATGTATAAAAACTAATTTGTCTATTTTAAATGACTAAGCACAAATAGCTGGAATTGAACAAATTACTATAAAATTGACTGTTAGATTTGATATAATTCATATTTAAGTTGAAGTCCAAATTTCAGTCCATGAAGGTCATGACTGGACTGTAATGACTGTAATCTTGAGGGTACAACTTATTACTGCACATGAACATCTTCAGCTTTTATTTTGATCAAGTCAAGATATGCTATGAATACTTATGTGTTTTCACACTAAAGTAAATACTTGTTACTGGGATACTTCACCACTGCTACTATTTGTGCCTAAATGTAAAAAAACAAAAAAACAACAACAAACAATACAGCGTAAGAAAAGAACCCCACTGTAACAGTAAATCTCAGTCATCTGACTGCACAACTAGATGAAAGCTTACCTTTATTGTGTTGTAAGGCTGAGGTTTATCAGCTACCCATAGGGCAAAAAGGAAGTGACTAAAATTAGATGTGTAACTCGTTTCTCTTGTAAAGCCCTCGGTGGATTTAGCCTACATTTGACATTTGGGGAGTGTGAAACATGGAGGCGTCTGGAGGCTCTATTGATTCTGGCAGATGGTGGTATTCCTTGTGGTGGATGTGGCGGCGGTGTCTTGGCTTGTGATGGACCCACGAGGGTGAAAACTTTAGATTCTGCAGAGGGAGGAAAAAAAATAAAAATAACACACTATGACTCAGTGAACACTATTACACTAACCATGACAGAGTCAGAGGAGAAGCAGTGGTACAGTCTGACACTGGGTGTGCAAGAAAATAATTTCCTCATTTAGACTCCATCTATCTAACTTGTACTCTTACTTTGGCATCTTTATAACTTGGGACCATCCAAGAAACACCATACAGAGAAAGCAATCTGGTGATATATAAGAGTGCTAGCTATAAAGACACTCTTACTTATCACCTGCACCTGAGCCCTCCCCTACTCAGACACAGAGACCTATTATTATTTTCTTTACTTACTGTCATATATAATTTGCTGTAATGATGGATGTTCACATTAAACATGGCCAAAGTTTAAAATAATCATGTTAGTATACAAGTTAAACCCTCTGAACCAGATGCTAAGGCTTCAGACTGGTCTAAATACTGGTTGTGCAGGGGTTTTTTTTTTGCCTCTTGGCTCTTTATGATGTCAACGAGAGCACAGACGCTCTACCCACCTGCTGCGAGGACCTTTTATTTATGAGCTGGCTTACAGGAGGGATATCCATTTCTTACCTTTCCAGGGTCATGCTGCAGAACAGCAGGTGCCATTTCTTCTGCTCTCTGAGGATACACTGGGTAAACATGCTGCACTGTTGGCTCAAGAAACTGCAAGCGTAGAAGAAAAGGACAGAGTAAGTGCCTCCTGAACAGCATGTTTCCTCAATAGTCATGACAGAATTATAATATGGTACGTTACTTCATTTTGCACACAAGCTACAAATATAGCAGAAAGATCGAAGGCATTTTACAGTCATGTATCATGTCTTATCTAACAAAATAAAACATACTCAAGGGAATAGATACAGTTAAATAAATGTGCAACATTTTGGTCTTCCTTGATGAATCTGCACCTCCACTGTGGAGTCCTCCATGAACAACACAGGTGGCTGAACAGAAACTCCATCAGCAGGCAGGTAAACATATTGTGACTGCTGGGGGTACAAGACTGCATAGGATGGCATCTGCCACTGGAGAACAGACATCAAGAACAGGTCAAAACTGGCCAAACGCTCCTGAACTGAAGCTAAAGTCAAGCTGCATTTTGCCTACCTGGGGTGTATTCCACTGATACTGGTTTGGCATGCACTGCAGTGAGAGTAGGCAGAAAGAAAGTTTGCTGTTAAATAACTTGCTGTGCTTGTTAAATGGCACCAATGGGAGAAATGATTGGATCCCTGAAAGGCTGAGCTGACCTGGTAGTGGTGACTGGATAGTTGCTCATACACAGGCTGATAAGGATGGGGGCCCATTGGCGAAGATGGCGGCTGGAAGAAAGTCATCAATCATGCAAATATTTAAAGTTAGAAAAGACCTTCTGATTCATCTGCGTTACTGCAACTATAACTGGAGATGCAAGTTTGGTCTTTGTGGGTATAAATTTGTCTCTTTTAGAAAAGACACCACAAACGCATGAGCTCTTATTAGACCAGCTCCCTTGGATAAACTGGTTAAAACCAAATTGGCATTTATAACAGCTGATTAGGGTGGTGGTGGTGTATGTTATTATGTTGTTAGTTTTGCATTGCTTAGTTTGTCCACTAGAGGGAGCTACACCACAAACTACTACCAGCTGAGGCAAACTGAGCATAAAATCAAGCCTTCTGCATAGTACTGAAAGTGTTAAATGGGTGTTATATGAGCACTTACAAGCCACTGGTAGGAAGGAGTATTTATGTTGGAGCAGTGGAAGTAGGCAACTCCATTATGGTAAGTGTAGGGAGAGCCTGTGGATGTGGTCAGGTAGAAGGTCCCATAGGATGTTTGCTGAGACATGGCAGGTTCAAGGCTGGCTGTAGAGGTGCTCTTTGCTGAGAAAAGAATGAAACCACAGAACCATGATCTGGTGTCTTTAGCCATCACAAGAAATGTGCCTGTAAAAGCTGGACCGACCGTAAGCCTGAAATTTCAGTACTCCAGTTATCACAATTATTTTAGAACTGCTGATAACAATTAATCTACATGTTCAAACACCTGCACTACTGGACCGTCAACCTACTTTGACTTGAAGGTTGATGCTTTCGAAAAGCCGGACCAACACTGAGTTTCTTGTCTTTGAAAGTGACTCCATTAGTCTGTAACAGCACATAAACAAACGTACAGACAACAAATTCTAGTCAGATTACTTGCATGATTATATGCATGAAATATTCCAAAGCAAGACACTAAACTACTTACATTGTTGATGATTTTCAGAGCATCTTCTTGGGTTTCAAATGTAACAAACCCATATCTGTTAAAAAACAAAAGGCAGAGCGTGTTTTACTGTGACAGTAAATGTGTAAATAACGCTTATAACTCTTAAAGTCAAAGCTGAGAAAATCAGCTGTGCATACTTTATCATTCAGTCGCACTCTGTGTATGAGAGGAAAAAGACAATGAACTCACCCCCTCGACACTCCTGAATGATCTAAGACAATCTTCACCTCTTTCACTGTGCCGTGTTGAGAAAAAATGTGCCGCAGGTCACGCTCATTGACCTTGAAACACATTAGTTTGGTTCATCATTGCAAAAGAGCTTTTAAATCATGGTCTGAATCATTTGCTCTACATTATTTCAGCAGCCCTCACCCTGTAGTCAAGTCCCCCAACAAAAATCCTGTTAGGGATCACGTTGCCAAAGGTGGTGCTGTGGTCTGTCAGGCTGTCAGCATAATCATCTGGAAGTAGCACATCACTTAGGGAGGAACTGCCCCCGCTCTGGGAAAAAAACAAACACCAAATATAATTTTGTGTGAAAAGTTTCATGTCCAGCTTTCAAGCCAAGAGCAATTATTTTATTTCTCCTACCAAAATTTCTGTATTTATGTGTACATTATTGTGCAAATGTAAAGTGGAAAATACATATCTCTGTTCACTCAGGCCCAAAGACAGCGTGTACTGGTCTTACTCTGGGCCAGTAAGAAGCTTTACACGTAATGAGGTTGGCCTGATTTTTTAATTTCTTTCCCAGAAAGTAGTCAAGATTATGAGTATTAAAACTTAAGTGCTACACTTACTGGACAGTTTATTAGGTACACCTTGCCAGTACTGGGTTGGGCCCCTTTTTGCATTCATGGCACAGATTCGACAAAGTGCTGGAAACACTCCTCAGAGGTTATGGTCCATATTGACATGACAGCATCACACACATCCATGATGTGATTCTCTCATTCCACAACATCCCAAAGATGCTCTTTTAGATTGAGATATGATGAGTGTGGAGATCATTATAGTATTGAGTCAGGCAGGCTGTGGTGTTTAAACAATGGTCACCTGGTACTAAGGGACCTGAAGTGTCAAGAGAAAGGCATTGGGACAGTCCTCAGCCCAGGCAAAGGTTTTCCAGTTTTCTTGAGCCCCTGCACACTGCAACCTCAGCTTCCTGTTCTCAGCAGACAAGAGTGTCACCGTGTGTGGTCTTCTGCTTCTGAACCTCATCTGCTTTAAGGCTCAAAGTGGTGCTCCTTCAGAGCTGATCTTCTGTATACTTTGCTTATAACGAGTGTTTATTTGAGTTACTGTTGCCTTCTCTCGGCTCAAAGCAGTCTGCTCATTCTCCTATGTCCCCTCACCTCAAAAAGGCATTTTCACTCAGAGATTCCCCCTCACAGAATATTTTATCTTTTCCAGACCATTTTCTCTAAATCCTAAACATGGTTTTGTGGGAAAATCCCAGAAGATTAGCAGTTTCTGACACACTGAGACCAAGAGGTACAGCAGCAGGATTACTTGTTCAGTGACTTTGAGTCACTTACTTGCTCTGTGATTGGCTGATTACATATGTGTCTTAAGGAATAGGTAACTAGCTTTACTTAAAGTGGCCAGAGATTATGAATCCCACTTCTATTTACACAACCTGACTCGTAAAATGAATGTAGCCATGTTCACAAGGAAATTCTACTCTAAAACTTAACACTTAATCCAGCTGGATTAAGTGGTGTGCTGGAAAACCAGCACACCGCAGACCACGGCCTCTCTGTGTGAGGATCTAAACGTATTCTACGCTAGATTCGACACAGCGAACACCATGAGACCGGACAGTGTGCGCACCGCGGATGACGTCAGTGCGCACACTGTGTCTGAGGAGGATGTGCGGAAGTGCTTCAGGAAGGTGAATGCACGCAAAGCTACTGGTCCGGACGGGATTCCCGGCCGCGTCCTCAGGTCATGCGCGGCTCAGCTGGCTGGAGTGTTCACGCACATCTTCAACCTTTCCCTCTCTCTGTCTGTAGTCCCAGCCTGCTTCAAAATGGCCACCATCGTCCCTGTACCCAAATCCTCCACCATCTCCTCATTGAACGACTGGCGACCTGTAGCCCTGACCCCCATCGTAAGCAAATGCTTCGAGAAGCTGGTCAGGGACTTCATCTGCTCTGCACTACCCGACTCACTGGACCCTCTACAGTTTGCATACCGCCACAACAGGTCCACTGATGATGCTGTTGCGACTTTCATCCGTAAATAAAGCCGCGGCCGGCTGAGTTGGTTGTGTCCCTGTGACGCGCCTCCAATAATCCATAATGAGTCGAACTTGTACTTTGCGCATTTATTTTAAGAACAAAACAAGAACAAACATTTGCGCTTTCAATCAATTTCCAACTAGCGCATGGATTAACTGGTGTGCCAAAAAATGACGGTCAACAGAAAAGTTTGCCCACAAACCACTCACCCAACACACCTGCTGCGAACACCGACATCAGGTAAATAGACTGTGACCACACCCACATACCATCACCTGAGACGCAGGTAAAGCTATACACCTGTGCCACCAAAACAAAAAAGGAAAAACATAAACATTGACTTTGGCTCTTACAGATGCCATAGCCCTGACACTACACACTGCCCTGTCACACCTGGAGAAGAGAGACACGTATGTGAGGATGCTGTTTGTAGATTACAGCTCAGCATTCAATACCATCGTTCCCTCGAAGCTGGACAGGAAACTGCAGGATCTAGGACTGAGCAGCTCCCTCTGCAGCTGGATCCTTAGCTTCCTGTCTGACAGACGCCAGGTGGTCAGACTGGGCAGCATCACCTCATCCCCCATCACACTGAACACTGGTGCTCCACAGGGGTGTGTACTGAGCCCTCTCCTGTACTCACTCTACACCTACGACTGCACGGCCACTAACAGCTCCAACATCATTGTGAAGTTTGCGGACGACACTACAGTGGTGGGTCTTATCACCAACGGTGATGAGACGGCTTACAGGGAGGAGGTCAGCGCCCTGACCCACTGGTGTCAAGACAACCATCTCACCCTCAACGTCGCAAAGACAAAGGAGTTGATAGTGGACTTCCGGAGGTGCAGAGAAGTACACACCCCCATCACCATCAACGGCGCTGCTGTGGAGAGAGTGAGCAGCTTCCGGTTCCTTGGCGTACACCTGGCTGAGGATCTTACGTGGTCAGTACACACAAACAAAACAGTGAAGAAGGCGCAGCAGCTCCTCTTCTTTCTCAGGAGACTGAAAAGATTCGGCATGAGCCCCCGCATCCTCAGGACCTTCTATCGCTGTGCCATTGAGAGCATCCTCACTGGATGCATCACCACCTGGTATGGCAACAGCACCGCCTACAACTGCAAAGCTCTCCAGCGAGTAGTGCGGTGCTCTGAACGGATAATTGGAGGTGAGCTTCCCTCCCTCCAAGACATCTACAGGAAGCGCTGCCTGAGGAAAGCGGGGAGGATCATCAAGGACTCCAGTCACCCCAGCCATAAACTGTTCAGACTGCTTCCATCAGGAAGGAGGTTCTGCAGCATCCGGTCCCGTACCAGCAGACTGAGAGACAGCTTTTTCCATCAGGCCATCAGACTGCTGAACACGTCATAGACACCTCAGCTTCACTACTGGAACTTTAACATTATGCACTCCACACTGTATATAAATGCCACTTGTTTTGCACATATTCAACTCTGTATATTTTATATATTTTATTATTATTATTATTATTATTTTATTTTATTTTTTTTACTATTTAATTTGTAAAAATGTGTATACACACACACACACACACACACACACGTAGGAAAATATTTAGTATACACATCCAGAAATGCATACACTATTATATATTGTACATATATTTATTAGTTTCAGGTTGGCCATTCTTGTATTTTGCTCGTTTGTGTTGTTGTGTTTGCACATCTCTGTTGCTTGTGGGGCTCGCACACAAGAATTTCACTCGCATGTGCTGTGCCAGTGTGCCTGCACATGTGATGTGACAATAAAAAGTGATTTGATTTGATTTGATTTAATCAAAACTAACAAAATAAATAATTAAACAGCAGGTTCTTAAACCAAAGTAGATGTACCTTCAACCTTTATACACAAGAAACAGCCTCTGGGCTGGGTAACAATTCAATTCCTTTAAAGATTCACTTCAAATGTCCAAAGAATATGGAGAAAAATTGTCAGGAAGATACAACACAGTGAAAAATGATTAGCAATTAACTTAATCAGTATATTTCCCTATAGTTTAAAGGATTGTGTGCAAATTGAGAAAAAAAAAGTTACTCAAACAACACGAACTTTTTAAAATTATCTTCAACGAGCATTAATATTTCTCAGGTAAAAATGGTTTAAATCGTGTAAACAGCATGCCCCATTAAAGTGTAGTTAACGTCTTAGCTACTTTGAACTAACCTATTTAGCTAGCATGTTGCCAAGTTATATATATTGCACAAGTTAATTCCAAGTTAATTAGCATTTTTCTTAATGTATTTTTCACGTAAACTAAGATTATAACCAACAATTTATTGGAAATAAAGTAGCTCAAAAGTATCGAAAACTAACTGTGATAAAGTTTATATCACATAACATAACCCAGCATTACTTACTTACCTTAGCTCCGTTAGCTGTTAGCTAAAATAATTGCTCGCAAAGCGGCAAGGGCAAACTTGGCAGTGCACTCACCTTTTGGCTCTCCGCTTCCATAGCCATATTATTCTGAAGCTAAAAAGATAAATGCACGTTACTGCTCTGATTAACGGTGGCCTATTCACGATTTAGCTAATGGTTGTTACACAGCTTCATTGCTCCCCTCCGACCGTTAGGTTAGGTTAGCCTTCACCACTCACACGAACTATGACCTCATCAGTTGGTTTGTGTATCTCGGAAAGCAACGGGTGAATACGTAACATTTTTATTACTTACTCTAAAAGTTTTTTTTTATTGTCTCCCATTAAACTATGTATGAAGGCGTGTTTTCACCACAGATTATTATTTTTTATTTAATTATTTATTTATTTTTGTCTTAAGTCAACATTGTGGGATATTATCTAAAAAAAAAAAAACACTTAATAACTCAAAATTTCAAGGTATCAAATTTTCATGTATTTTGAAACAGTCAACACAAAAAGGTTAAGAAAAAAAAAGCATTAACAGAATTCAGTGGGCTACATACTGAACTTAGAAACCCACATCCTGTTGTGCTACTATCAGTCAAATCTAGTACCAATATCGACACTGGTATCGATATTTAATGATAATGATACGCCCACCTCTAATGTACGCTCTTATTTTAACTACAATAATAAGTCATATAATTTAATTTAAAAAAAGAGACGTTAAAACAAGTTTTAATTTTTCTTTTACGTCTTAATAATTCCAGACAATATAATTTTCATAATAATAAAAGAAATCCTTTCCCGGCTTCTTTCTCACCTTTTATAGAGAAAGAATAGCCACAATGTCCTGTTTGGTTTTAGGTGGGGAAATGTGCTCATTTTAAACCTAAAATGTGCTTAACTGCTGAATCCTTTCCTGATTTAAAAAAAAATAAAAAAATAAAATAATGGGCATGGAACAATTTTGCTGTCCTACTTCAGTCCACGTTTGTTGTATTAAAAAGTACAGTACTAAAACGTGGCCACATAGAGGCGCCATTTCTCTGTTGCTAAAAAAGGCATAGGTAGTCACAGAGACCCAGGGCGCATCGGAATCAAGCATGTTCTTCTCTTTTCTTTCTATTTGAACTATGAAAGTGAAAATTTTGTTAAATGTGAAATATTGCCAAAGAAATCTGTCTACAAAGTTCACAAATATCTCATCACTGACTGAATCCCTTTGTGCTGATTAAACACACACAGCTTATATTTCCACTTAAAAATCTTTTTTTGTTTTTGTTTTAATGTGTTTTAATATTATGTTCCTCGCCATTAAGAGCTGCAGGAAAAACTAGAATAGAGTGACTTTTCCACATTTCCACATTTCTTTCCTCTCTTGATGCTTCAGGAGCCACTTCAGATGTTGAGCAAAATCCTCACGGAGCCATAATTTGTCTATGATTGGCTGCAAAGTGTTCTGAAACGCCATCATTTGCATCTCGTGCCCCCCCACCACCACCTTTTTATGCTCCTCCCTGGGACCACAACAAAGTGACACTGAACACTGCACAAAGTCTTCAAGAGCTGGAGGGTGGTGGTGGTGGTGTGGGGGAGGGGGGGGCAACCAATTCATACCTAGTAATACTAATAGTGAATGAAAAACACACAAGCAGGAACAGGATTTGCCTTGAACACATCCATATTATTATGAATAAATGTGCAAACACAGTTTATAATCCACTCAGTGTGTAATTCTTCTCAGTCTGTGTTGCACATTTCCCACCATTACACCCTTCTGTCTCTGGATTGCTTGCCCTCATCTGAGTAATGTGGGCCACACCATTACTTGTCATTCATTTCCAGCTTTCCTTAATTGCTGGGGTGAATTTGCCAACGAAGTCTGACTGTGCAAAATGAGAAGGGCATGTTTGATAATTACAGCAATTTACGAGCTAAAAGTCCTTTTATACTCCACAAAGATCATTTAAGACACAAGTGCTGTCAGGGCAACTCGCCTGGCTGTTTGAGTTTTCTCTGGAAACAAAGGAGAGTGAAGGTTTTATTCTTTGACTGTTTTAGTTTGTCGCTTTGTATTGACTACCTTCATTTCCGCTTAATATAAATTTTCCATGTTATACATTATTTTTCCCCCCACCCTGTCATTGCTAGGGAATGTTGTGCGTCAGAAGCCTTTCTATCACTGCGTTTCAAGATTCAAGACTTTTTATTGTCATCAGACCGACAAATTAGGACAATTCTCCAACACAGGGTTCCAAAAAAGGACTTGAATAACATAAATAAATATATATACATATATACACATACATACCCACATATATATCTGCTCATACATACACCCATATCTATCTATCTATCTATCTATCTATCTATCTATCTATCTATCTATCTATCTATCTATCTATCTATCTATCTATCTATCTATCTATCTATCTATCTATCTATCTATCTATCTATCTATCTATATCTATCTATCTATCTATCTATCTATATATAGATAGATAGATATATATATACATACTCAGTTAGATTGGGACGTTATATTGCACTGCTGGACTGAACATGAGTTATTTGCATGCCATGTGTATGTTTATGTAATGTATATATGTTTTGCGATCATTTCAACCTTTAATTGACTTAAATCAAACAAAAATGACCTCAGATGAGTCTGAATCAGACACAAACTGCTGACTTGACGTTCAAATGCAATATTCGTTGTGTCATCTGTCTTACATCGGAGTGAGTAATTTGGCCCAAAATGAGCCTCGCGCTGGAGGGGTGCAGGCTTTGCCAAATGCAGAGGAAGAGGGCTGGTTTTAATCTAGAATATAAGGTTTGGAGGTAGCTTATTTGTCATCAAACATATTGATATGAAAATGACAAAAAGCAGCATTTTCTGTTTGTTTATTTCAGACTAAAAATACTGAGGTAAGTGTTCCAAAATAAAATCAGTTGTGCCTCACAGAGATTCAAATCTATCCACTCTTGGTTTTGTGACAAACAAGAGGTAGAGAGTAAATAACAGGCATGGAAGAAATAAAAATGGAGGTCAAATATCAGGTCAGACTTGCATTCCCATTGAAAAAAGGGCCCGTTTTTACCTCAGTCGGTCACTCAGTCAGACAGTCGTGGAGACAGAGGTTGATGAAAAATGAGCCGTAACAGAAGGGTTCAACTCTGACTCTGTAATTACTCTACAAATCTCTGATTTCCCCTCCTTCATCTCCAGACTATTTATAGCTGCTGCATTCCTCTCAGAGAATAAAATGATCTCTTTGAGACAGTACAATGCCAGAAATAACAGGTTTGGACAAACATTTGCTGAGGCGTGGTGGGCCTGGCTGACCATCGCTGAGTTCCACTGTGGTTTTAGTCTACTGTTTTTTTCCCCCCTCGTCCATTTATTCATCTGTTCTTCTAAATGTGCTCGGGGTGGGGAGGTGGTGAGTAAGATGCGATGGCTCGACAAAAGCAGCTTGTACGGAGCGGGATGAAATCACTTTCTGACACACGAGGGGATTGGGCGAAAGAAAACACACAAACGCGCACCTTCATGTCTGCAAACACTCAGGTGCCTACAAGGCCCAGACCTCCCTCTTTGTGCATCACTGTGTTTATGTTACAATCATATGGATTTGCTGGCAAATATGATCCACTGAGACATGTGCGAATATGTGTGTGTGTGTCCTTGCGTGCCAGTGTGTTTAGGTTATCGGAGGAGCTTTGCTATCGACTGTGTTTTTTGTCAAATTTCGTTTGCCAGAACGAAACAAAGATCATATGATGCCTGCTTAGCATCCAGGCTTCATATCCAATTTATTTAGACCAGTGTTTAGAAAAGGCTGTGTGGGTAAATGAATGGGTAACGCTCCTTTTAACTTTGGACCACTGGCCCAGATGACCCCCTAATTTGGGGTAAGTTTATACCACTGAGTAAAAGAGATCTTTTTTTTGGGGGGTGGGGGTGGGGGGGTTCATTGTTTATAGTATATTGTGTGGAGTTTTGGTCTTTAGTATGTCTAAATTCCCCAAATGGATCCGATGAGAAAAGATAAGTTAAACTAATGTCACAGCTAATATCTACTTTTGTGGACCCAGTTCTATTTGATTCAAACCCTTGATCTAACGCTTGTTTAAGGTTATCCTACTCTTTTTCAAGTTTCAAAATTCCTGCCAATAAAACCTCAGACTATGCAAAGGACCCTAAACATAGGCTATAGTGGAGGAAATATGAAGCTACTTTTAAAGCCATCCAACTACACATGGCATCTATAGCCTGTTGTTTCATTTGAGTGCACTGAACCTATTTGAACCTCATGGCAGGTTCTTTCTCTCAGCAAATTGTTTCCTAGCTATGGCTTTGTGTTTAACTTGCACACGGCAACATCTGTATGTAGTAAAAAAAACAAACAAACAAACAAACAAAGTTTTCACAGGACTGGTGTAAAAAACTAAATATGTTTCTGTTTCATTTAAGGGGGTAAGTAATACCCAGCTGCTGCTAATCAAATATACTTAATTAAGTAATCATCAAAGCTGTGACCACGTCTGAAAAAGCAAACATTTTGGGACTATTCAGGTGTGTGTTAACACAATGTCATAACTGTCATAGTCTTCTCAGGAGTGGGCTACCACCAAATTCACCCTAAGGTCAGAGTGTGCCATGCTGAAAAAGAAATGCATGAGTTACATCTCAGATGCTACAGGCCTCAGTTAGCATGTTAAATGTTAAAGTTTATGACAGCACAATTGGATACACTTCAAGGAGAAAGCCTCTTCTCTTCAAAAAGTTCATAGCAGCTTGGATTAGGTTTGCAAAGTTGCATCTGAAGTCAACCACAATATTTCTGGAATAATGTCCTCTGGAGAGATGGGATCAAAGTGGAGATGTCTGGTCACAATAGTGCACAAACACCTCATAGAAAATGTCAAGCACAGGGATGGAGGGGTGATGATTTGGGCTTGTTTTACAGCTATAGGACCCGGGCCACTCCGCAGTCATTGAGCTGTCCATGAACTCCTCTGTATACCAAAGTCTTCAAGAGCTAAATGTGAGGCCAGCTCTCCACAGCTAAAGGTTAACCAAAATGGGGAAAAAATGCCTGCAAACTTCAGTAAGCTGAAGCAATTTTGTAAGGAAGAGTGGGCCATTACATGTACTTCAACTTATTGCTGCTAAAGATGGTTCTGCAGTCTGCTGAATTTTGGGGCATGGCAAGTGAAACCACTTTCTTTTGCATGATTGTAA